CGTCTCGCCACATAATGCGAGAGGCGCAGTAGAGCCGGAGCTATGCTAAGATGTCATGCAGACCAAGCCTTACGTCTATCCGTATGACGATGACGAGACGGTGAATGACAAAGCAAGCGCATCAATCCACGCCCAGGACCTTCGTAGAATGGCGTTCTTGATGGAAACTCGGCATGGCAGTGTCATCAAAGTTGAGAACAACCTTCGGGTTCTCCGCCGTCTCCGAGAGTTTTTCGTGGAAAATGTGGCCGGGCATCTCGGCCCTCTCAGAGATTCCCACGCCAATGACATCCGGACGCACATCAAAGGCTTTGCGGAGAAGTTGACATTGGTAATGGCAGAGATCGAGGACTTGTTAGACCGGGCATCAGCACTGGATAAACTTGCGAGGAACAGAGAAGAATACGTACGTGGCGACTGGGAGTGTCAAATCAAGGGGAGCGAACGCTAAACGGCTTAGATTCAACGGTTGCAAGCGCATCACTCGACTCAGCAAATGAATACAATCGCGGTGCTGACGGCGGATGACTCGTCCGCGATGAAGCAATTGTCTTTCATCGCCCTGATATTGTTACCAGTCACGGTCGTATCGGTAAGCAAGATATCCCCCGTCGAGCATTGCTGTTGGAAGAAAGGCAGAACACGAATGCGTTGATCGGATGTCGTAACCAATGATATTCTATGCAGACGGTTCTCAGTACGGACATTGTCAAGTTTCAGGACCTTTCGAACGAAAACGAGAATGCCACCCGAGGCACGTCCGAAGGCCCCATTCCGATATACAGTTTTTCGGTGGCGGCCTTTGGCACATGGGCGGTCGCCAGCGTACTCATGACTATCGCGACTTTGGTCATTGTCAAGCCGGCAGGGAACCGTAGGAGGCAAGGCAACGGCAGTGTAGACTGTGGGACGCACGAACCTCCCATGGAGAAAACAAGGAGATCTCGACTGATAACGCGATTGTCTCATGCGTGGAACATTCGAGACAGGTTCGACTCAGCCGTAGACTCTTCGTCCCGCAATGCCAGGCCTAGGCCACCGAGCCCGGCGATTTCGGCACTCGCGACTTCGATACACACGGCCCCGACGGTTGTCAAGATGACATCAAAGTCGCGAGGAACTCCGGTGGTGGATATGGACGCTCCCGTGTGTGCCGAGTCCTCTCGAACTTGGCCATCGATGGGGTACTGGCTGGGGGATGCTTGGAACATAATGTGGCGGTCTGCAAAGGATAAGGTGAACATGACGGAGATGGCGACGACACCTCTACCACGATGGGATAGTCGAAGAGACGAGGGACGAGAGGATGGGCAGAAATCGCGGGGAGAGGGTTCATGAGTGCATGGTGTCCTAGCATGTTGGTTTAAGGCACAAGGTTATCCGAAAGGTAATGTAAGGTAGGGTCGCATCGTCTAAGTGCTGGATTCGGAGAAATAGGATCGGGCACGGCAGATTGGCACATGCCAGATCCCCTCGGTCCCTTGCTACCCTCCGAATCTCCAAGGCTGCAAGGTTATCTGACAGGCTCAGCTCCTGTGAGCCGCATCTTTGTTTCTATGTTTCTTTTGTTGAATTGCCACTTTCGATGCGGACTCGGTGTATCCTGTATTGGTGTGCTTGCGTTCCATTTGTTAACGGTCGAAGCGGTGGCCGAGGAAAGGCGAAGCTCATCATGACCCGATGATAGATAAGAGAAGCAGACGAAGATCAAGCCTAGGTCTAAGATCGTAATGTGGCGGTGCTTCCACGCTCCGTACTCGTGCATGCATTGTCGTTTCTTTGAGAGAGCAGTTTCCCATACCTATACCATGTAGGAGAAGGTAAGGCACCTTCATGACGCTGATGCATAGGAGGTTTTAGCGAATCAGCCCACTACACGCAGCTAGCGGGCGACTGAGTCCACCAGGAATGGCCCCCATGATTCGTCTTCCTTCGGATCCGACAGGGAGCCACCTCGCCTGGCCGATGATTTTCAGGGAAGGCCCCATCACCCGAGGCAGGTGCCGTGCAAAGATGGTGGCGGCCCGGGAAGCTTGCGTGGGGCCCTTCCACACTCTTGCCTCTTCTGACCACACGACTGGCGGTGGAGGTGCAGGGGAAGCAGAGGAAGCAGTGGGCTCCGGCTCTTTCACAGACCGGCGGCCTGGTTGACGTCAGACGAAAAGATGCGGCGACTTTGCGTACCTTGCCTTATGCTCGTCTCCCGCCGGCTCAGCTTACCACGCTTACTACCTTACGCCAGCACGCCTTATCCGATTTAATTAGACAGAAAAACACAAGTGTAAAGCGCGAAAGGGACAAACGAGAGAGCATCTAGTGAAAACGATACCCTTACCCTGTTTATTAGTCCCATCCGTCTATTTCCCTTTGCCCATTATCTCGCCCACTATCTTACACCCCGATACTTGATCCATCCTTGCTCGCATGACACTGCCATCCCATCCTCCTTCTACAATCTGCTACCTATTTGAGATCTCAGTTTTGTTTCCAAAGGGGCGAAACACATCTTGACTTGCCATGTTCTGTGGACGACAGGAGCACGCACACACTCACACCCACTCGCCTCATCCATAATTATCATCCAACTCACCCACACACGCCACACGTCGCATAATTTCAGCCCATTGCACTGCTGCTGGCCCGGGGCCTTTACCTTTGAACCCTCGTCTCTATCTGCCATTCTGACCACCTCGCTCCAATTCAAACCGGTTACGGGCTCTTGAACCATCCCGTTCTGCCCACTCGCGACAACCGTACTCGGGTTCGCTTTGGAAACGACATCTGACAACTTGGTCCAAGCACGCCGAAATCCACGAGGGCATCGGACCAAATTGTGTGGCAGACTCTTGTCTGACATCGGAACCATACCAACTATTCTCAAGAGGCTTCAAGTTTTTACTGCTTCCTTCCTCTCCAACCAGAAAATCCTGGTTGTGGCTAAGTCAGCGCCTCCGTCGCCTTTCCGTACTCAGAGACTCAGCCGTGTCTCGTTTGTCTCGTGTAATGTGCGAGTCAGACAGATACGCAGCTAGCTACAGCTAATGCCGTTTTATTTATACAACACTGCATCCTCCCTTCTTCCTACGGCTCTTGGCTCACCATCACCGATTACCATTAGGCGTTCGAGGGGTCTATTTCCTGGGGCAAAATACTATTTGCTGCAGTCCAAGGAAACTATCCAGACCGAGAGCAATATGGCAGCTGACATCACCACGCCACTGGGTATCCCAGGCCTCACCGCCCCGATATTAGCAAACGCTACAAAGCCTAGCCTTGCCAACATCAGCGCTCCCTTGCTTGCCACCATAGTTCGCGATAGCTACCGTGCTACCTTCAAAGCTCGCGTCGCCGCCGGCGAAGCACGACCTTTTGTACTCCCTTATGGTATCTTTGCCAGCTTCATCGTCCCCATCCTCTACTTGACCTTTCCGCACACCAAACGGCCGTGGCTTTACAAGGCAAGATGGCTTGTGCTAGCCTTCATCGTCATCTTCAACATTGACATCTTGCTGGGCACCTCTAGCACCAACATGTCCATATCTTATGCGAGCGGCCTGTCAGCCTTCTGGGGAATATTGTCTAACTTAATTATGCTGGTATTCACGGCACCACAATTCGACTATGAAAGAGTTGTTCGGAGGAGGAAGGGTGTCACCACCCCAAACAGATCCAAGTCGTCTGCGGCTCGCGCAGCTCCAACAAACGGATCCGGACTCAGGAAGCGAGCTAGTAGCAAGAAGCGAAGAGCCGACCAAGTCACGGCCCCTGAAGTCAACCTCGAAGAGTACGAGTACTACTGGCAGACTTTCCCAGAGAATGGATGTTTTTCAGAGCGACTGGGCTGGGTTATCGACCTCTACACCAATTTCAGAGGAGTCGGTAAGAAAGCTTACTCCCCCATGCTAGAACGAGCTCTATATTGACGTAAATCAGGTTGGACTTGGGCTGTTTCGTCGGTTCCCAGTCCAGTTCCCCCAGAGAACCCTGGTACGGGTGAGCTCGTCAAGATGGATACCATTCCGTTGGAAACCTTCGTGGGGTGCCAGACCTACAAAGACGAGAAAGAGTTCTTGCGACGGAAGGTCATCCCCATCGCAATCTCGTATATGATCCTCGACATCGCCAAGGTGACCATGATGGAAGACCCATACTTCTTCCTCGGATCCGATTCGTTACCCCTTCCTGCACATCTCGCGGCCCTCCCACCATGGGCCTTATCCATGTGGAGGCATGCTTCCGTACTCGGTATTCTCTACGCCGCACTCGTTATGGTCTTCTCCGTTCATGATCTGTTCCAGTACTATGTCCTCAGCAGAGTCTTCCCCATGCGGGGTGAGCTGTGGCAGTACTCCACGGTCTTTGGTTCCTTTACACAGATCTTGGACAGAGGCTTAGCCGGGTTCTGGGGAGCTTGGTGGCACCAGACCTTCCGACATGCTTTCTCTGCTCCAGTCAGTTGGGCTGTGAAACGTGGCTATCTCGAAAAGGGGGCGCGTAGCACAAAGGCAATTGGGATGTCTACCGCCTTCCTTCTTTCTGGTCTGCTTCACGGTTCCGGAAGCATCAGCGCGATCCCCGAGACCAAGTGGTGGAAACCAGCGCTTTTCTTCTGGTTGTCGGGGCTCGGCGTCCTCACTCAGCAAACGTTCTGTACGGCCATGAAGCCCCAGATTACAAAGATGCCTCGCACGCTCAGGAGAGCTGGGAACCTCTTATTCGTGCTCATGTGGCTGCACGTTACCGTCCAGCCGTTGGCCGACGACTTTTCGCAAACTGGCCTCTGGCTCATGGAGCCCGTCCCCGTTTCGGTCGTGCGGGCCCTCGGCTTCGGTCGCGGAGAGACGTCGTGGTGGAAGCCTGATATGGAAGCGATTGGACATTGGCATGTTGGACAGCATTGGTGGGATTCTGGGTTCAGCTACTAGAGCATCGGGCGCAAGCCCTCACCTCATGTTATGATGCAACGAAGTAATGTGGTGGCTTGTTTTTGTAGATAAACTTTAGGGGAGATACTCCTTTTCTTTCGCCTGCTGCATCCCCTCTGAGTCGAGATCCCCATTCACTTTGACGTGATCTGCGCCTCCGCCCTCGTGCTGTTCTGTAGGATCATTTCCGGCGCGGAGCTTCTCGAGCCCATTCTCCTCCTCGGGCGTAAGTCTTCGGGGGACAATACACTCCTAGTGGTCGTTCTCCTGTATCTGTGTTGGTGAGCCGAGTAAGTTGATCGGTGTAATAGGTCAGGAACACACCAACTTGACTACAATGTCTCTGTGAGGAAAGATTTTATTCATGTATGCCACCACGACAGACTTCTCTAGACCACAGATGGGGGTTCTATACCCGTACTGTATCCCCGAGAGGAAAAAGCTGCGCACGGTGGTGTTCATTTCGTGTGTCTCGAGCGTCCTGTCTTCTTGCTCGGTCCTTGAGTGAGCTTGGTCTGATGGTGAGTAGTTCAGGCAGCTGATACCACCTGCTGGTCTCCCAGAGCTGGAGGTCGGGCGATTCCCGTCAGGGAAGGGAAGAGCTGTGATATTTGATATCCATAAACGGTAGGTAGGCAAGCCTCAGCGGCTCGCACCTTCCCGCACATGACAACGAGGAAAGGGCGAAGGGTAGGTATATGGCCTCCGTCAAACCCATTCCCGTCACCAGCCAGCAGGCGCTCGTCTAGGTCGACGGGTCAGGTCAAACTGGCTGGGTGGTGGAGTGGTTAATGGTCAACGTCAATTATCTACGCCAACTAGCCTACTCGACGACAGGCTAAGCGCATACGAGTACCCCGAGTTCGAATCCCAGCATGAGCACCAAGAGATGTAGCCACACCGGTGGTGAACTCTTTTTTGAATGCTTTATAAATTGTCATTGCGTAGTCGGGCGAGTTTTTTGCGGGCTGGTATACATACTTCTTACCTCGTATTGGGTAACTGCGCCTACCATCTGGAGGTTCACTTTGCCATCGAGAGAAGGGACACGTGAGCCCACCAGTGGTGTTTTTTGTTTGGAAAGAACGGCTCAAAGTTATCGCGAGCTTGTCATCGTTGCTTGTCATTTTGAAATACTCGCACCATACGAAGCCTACCCATCGCGGCAAGACCACGTCACTAGAGCGAGACCGAGAATTATGATGTGTACTGGTATGCTTGATTACTGCATACTACTGAAGCCTGATAACCCAGCTTTAACAACCCTATGAGCCCTCCCAGGCAAAACAATGAGAAAGAAAGGGGGTATCTGAGCCGAAAGGAGAAAAGCCATCCCAAACCCTAGTCTGTACTAAACCTCCGCCCTTCTCAACGCCAGTCTGGCCAACTGCATTAGGAGAAAATGAGGGGCATCTCGCAAAACCCAAAGTCAGTTCCAAACCAATCCAGACCCAATCTTCAGCGTACTGATGCCGAAGAATCCAACTCCGTGACGGGGAAAGAAAGAACCACCAATTGCCAATAAGAAGAAGACGTGAAGCCAAGAGAAAAGAAAACCCAATGCCCAAAACTCAACCTCAAAGACGCGGAAACCTAATCCCGATACCAGAACATAAGCTAGCGATGTAAAAGTTGCTATTCGAAAGAAATGCAGCCTTTTGATGTCGTAGTACTAGTAAAGAGCAAGAAGAGTCCTCGATGCCATGTGATATAGGTCGTGGACATATTAGTTGCCGTGGCCGCCAGCCGACATGAACGTCAGAGTGTTGGCACCCTCGACGTCCTCGCCGTTGATGGGGTAGGTAAGGCCAGGCTGAAAGGCAGGCTGAACGACCTGTTCGAAAAACGTATTAGCAAAGTCATTCCAAACCTTTGTAGAGATAAGCTATGACTTACATCGATCTGCGTGACGCTAGAAAGATCCGCAGTAACGGCCTGAATAGCCTGATCAGTCCCGTCGATCCAGTTTCTCGTCAGAGGGCATCTTCCCAGCTTCATGTTGGACATGATGGCCACGGCATAGCCGCGCAAGACTGCAATCGTAGGCAGCTCGCCGTTGTTGCGCTTCATCTGCGTCAAGACAATGTTGGTAACCCAGGCACTATGGACGATCTCTCGAAGTACAACGTCACACTGCTGGCGCTGAGTGAGACCGGCGGCGCGGATGTGAAGCTTGAGCTTGGCCTGAATCGCATCGAGGAGATCGCCCAGGTCGGCGGTGACGAGGCGGCGGCTGGCGTTGCGCTCTTCAACATTGGTGTTCGGGGCGATGGGCTGAGGCGGGAAGGCGTGCTGCTGAAGCGGTACGGTCTGGAAAGACTGAGTATGGGTAGATTGAGCCTGGTTGAAGGACTGGGCCTGGCCAGAAGTCTGAGACTGGGAAGTCTGCGAAACCTGAGCGACTCCAGGCGCCCTGCCCTTCTGAGAGCTCTTGGCCTTCTGAGGAGCCGCGGCCTTCTTGGAAACACCAACGGTGCCAGCGGACATGGAGCTCATGCTGGCAGTGAGAGATTCCATCTTGCTAGTGTTCTGACGCTTCGCAGCCGGGGCCTTCTCGGCAGCAGCCGCCGCACGCTTGTTCTCGGCACCAGGATGAAGCTGAGGCAGGCCGAGGTGACGGGGACCTTCGCCGTACTGAGGGGCATGGAGATACGCGCCTCCGCCCTGGACTTGACCCTGCTGGGCGTATCCATGATCCTGAAGATAATACGTGAGTAAAAGGATTGTAGTGAAGTAGAGGTGCAATTCTTACCTGGGCCGGGATGGCCTGCTCGGCGAGCTTTCCCTTGGCCTCGGGAATCTCAGAGATCTTCATCTCCTCGACCTCGGGCTCCTCCTTCTTGACGTTGCCGCTGCCGCTGCCGCTGCGCATCTTCTCGTAGGTGTTGATGGCAGCGGCGCGGACGGGACGGGACTGCGCCAGTCCGACAGGAGCAGCCCTGCCCGCATCGGTGGTGGCGGCAGGGGCGTACCCCTTGCCGCCTGCCTCCGCGGGCGGGACATACTCCTTGTCGGAGGGCGCGCTGGAATCCATTTCGTCGAAGTCGGAGTCGGAGTCGGAATTGTAGTACGACTTCTTTCCCTTCTTCTGCTTCTTCTTGCCCGCCTTATTCTTCTTCGAATGCTTGGGCTTCTTGGAAGGGCGAGTGGTGGCGGAGGAGGAGTTCTTTGCCTTTGTGGGCGTAGAGAGAGCCAGGGACGAGTTCTGGGTGGTGGTGAGGGTGGTCTGTAGAAGAGGGAAGGAAGGGGAGGAAATCAGCTTCTGGGTGAAAAAGACGGATGTGGGTGAAAATAGCGTACCTGGGTCATCTTCTTCGCAGAACTCTTGGGAGCAGAAGACGAGCCCTTGGTGGGCGAGGCATCAGGCGTGTTGGCCTGACCGTCCTGGACGGCGATGGCCACGGATGGCTGACCAGGAGCGCGCAATCCGCCAGCGCGCTGGGTCAAGAGTGCGTAGCGGTCCACCCAGTCGAAGTCGCCAACCTCATGAGCAACGTGAGAGCCGCGGTTCGAGATCTCGCCCTTGGCAACGCAGTCTCGGCAGACGACGAAGCCGCATTCTCTGCACAACTGGTGAACGGTCAGGGCGGCGGGCATCCTCTTGCAACAGTCGCAGGTATTCTCGCTTAGATCAGTCTTTTTCCAGTTGTCGTGACCACGGTCTCGGCCACCCGAAGACGCGGTGTGAGTCTTGAACTGGTCCATGACGATGATTCTGATGAAGTTCGAAGTGATGATCGTGATGGATTAGGGGTAAGTAAGCTTGTTGAGTTGCTGGAGTAGCGAATATTGATGGCTGAGCTGCGAAAGAAAGCTGACAGTGTCGAGGGAAGAAACGAAAACTCGAGCTGTCGAGGGAAGAAAGAGAATCAAAACGAGAGAAGGCAGAGAGAAGAGGAAACAAAAAGTCCAGAGCTCTCGCCCTCCATGGAAATCTTCAATATCAAAAGAGCGGGTACAATAACCTGTGCATTGCCGCCTCATGAAGAAGCCCTAACCATAACGAGAGCGGGAGCAGTCGAGAAGCAGTGAGCCTCCCGTCCTCGAGAGAAATCTTCACCGGCAAGGGGACGGGTTAGACGGGGCCATTGCCTGCCTCAGGAAGAAGCACGCATCGCAAGAAGGGCAAATCCAGGAAGATATGGAACTCTTGCTCTTCACGGAGACTCTTGATGAGGAAAAACTGGCTGAGAGAAAGGGTTAAACTTCTACCAGCAATGCCTACTATCCATACTAGCAGAAGGACAGATGTGAAAGAAGGGAACAGCTATCGATTCACAGGCTCTCGACATCAACATGACGGGCATATCAAAAGGGGTGAGCTTACAGACGATAAACAAAGACAAGGAGAGCAAGAAGAATTCAGTGCTGTGATAAAGACTTTGAGTTTCTATCAAGCAGATGACATACTGCAAAGGAGCTTAGGCATTACTTATGATGACTTAAAAACATCAAAGAGGCTGGGCGGTATGCACACAAGGGCCTCTCGCAAATCTGCGAAGCAAAAGTTGCTATCCATAAATAAGGGACCTGGGTTTGAAGCACCTGATATACCTCGCATTCATCTGGGACCGATGTGCTCTCATCTGATGTGTAGTTCCAGTGACAACTATGCCAGATCAATCGCAGAGGATGAGAATGATACTTAGTTGCGTTAGATTGAGTCCACAAGATCCCAGTGCGATTCGAAGGCTTTGATTGAGGGAGACCATCCATATTGTGATCGTAAGATTAATACGATGGCTAAGAAGGATCCGAGCCAAGGTGGCTGTGGCGTCACTGGAGATGGATGGTACTCCCAGTACTTCTAAGACTCAGTTCGAGACGCGTCCGGCTACCTGAGACGAGCCCTGGGTATAAGATCTGATTATCATCGCTGAAAACTTGAAGCTTCACATCATCTAGTGTGGGCTTGATCAAAGACCTATCATCTCGCTATGCGAGAATAAGATCAAATTAGATGATTCTTGTTCTTGAATAGGCGTTGCGGCTGAATATGAGAAGTACGGTCTCGCACGAACAGCGTATGACCATAACTTTTGTCCTCTCAATGAGGTACCATCATGAGGCCCCTTCTTCGAGATGGAAAAAAAAGAGACGACGAAGAAAGAAGAGACATTTTGGTGTAGAATACAGCCACCAAGTTCAATGATGAGAGAAGTTCTTATTGATGGTCATGGTACACAGATAGGAAGGCTAATGATATACTGTAGGTACTGAAAGCAGGACATTGATCGATTAGAGTGGCCAGGGACCGCCTAGTCTGTGCTTTATATACCGCAAGAGTTGGTTGTATTGCCAGAAACGATTGTCATCGAAGAAGACAAGAGAGGATGGACAACTTATGAACGGGGTGAGGCCCGGCACCGTGGATGAAGATGAACATAAGACCATTCCTAGATCCCGTACATCCATAATGAGTCTTCAGGGCGGCTAGGCACAGATACCGCTTCACCTAGGAAAAGCTGTATAATTTTTCAATGTAGTCATCGCCTTATGCGACAAAAGAGAGCGGGTTCCACTGGGGAACATGATTAAGTGAACTTGTGAAGCTACTTGTTAGTTGCGAGCATATCATTAATAACGAAACCATGATTAGGAGATTCGCTGCGAAGTAACTGTGCGATTTGGATCCTGCGCCGAGACACTTGTCCAGAACAGGCTCGACCACAACGGCCTCGAAGAACACCTGGAACCAGGGCAGGGGTTTGATAAGAAATAGGACCGTTGGAAGGGATAGTGTTTCATGCGTAGGGGATATAGTTGAAGTCGGATATTGAGCAGGCGTACTTCATCGGCCTGTTCGTCGAGATAGGCAGAAAATGAGGGGTTGTAGGAGACAGTTGCTTGCTAATACAAGCCCATCGAAGGTTATTATGTGATTTCAGTAACACACAAATTGAACATTGCGCAATTGCAGGTCTGGCAACAACATATGTTCGTATTGCGTTTATGTCGCAAGTGTGCGATTGGAATGCATGTATTTGTATGTGATACCTTAGATTGCCCGAAAAGTCAGCATATCCATCAGCATTAAGAAACAAATCGCTTGCACCCGCGGGGTCAAAGCTTTGCGGCGGCGCGGGGCACAGCGGGCGGGAGAGGGACATATCCGATGATGGACAGCTGCTGCTGGTGGATAGCCTGGAGTTCGATGGCAGTGTGTCCCGCCCGCCGCGCCCCCGATCGTTGCCAGGACGACTTTTGCACTCGACTTTTTGCGCAACGAAAGAGATTGGCTGGGCGCATAGGGTGGACGGCCAGTTACCGTAGTGACTGACACTTGACGGATAGGACGATGGAGGGTCCTCCTCGGGAGAGGACGGGAGACAAACGGGTAGGGTCCACAAGAGGGCAGAAATTGCGCACATGGACGGGACGAACGGGGTGGGAGAGGGGATCGGAGGCAAGTCATGACAAATGCCCACCTCTCTCTCTCTCTTTCTCTCTGCAAGTCTCCAATCCCATAGATGACTCCGCAGGACGTCGGGGTCCAGAAGCCTTTCCTCGAAACAGGATGGTGGACTCTTTCTTCTCACGAATCGAACGTGGACCACGTTTCGGAGTACGGATGCGGATACATACACGACACTACATTTCTGTCGGTGGGAAGTTCAAGGAAAAAGTCGACGAGTGACGTTGGAAAAGGCGGGTACGTAGCCAGCAGGGACCCGCCTTTTGGGAACCGGCGCACTGTGTCGAGTAAAACGGCTTGAGAACATTCGGCCAATGGCGTGAGCCATGCTTCACCGAGAGCTCCTTGATTCGTCAATGGGTCCTGCAAGCAATTAAACGCGACCCCGCTAATGGAGACGTGTCAGACGCGTCAAACGCGTGCGGCTCGCGACGACGCGCCGACCGCATCGCAAAGTTTCGCAACGGGCACCGCCCACCTTCTCTCGACGAGGACGTTTTTTTTTTCACTTTCTTTGCTCAACGTCGTTTTGTGGCGCAATGCCCTACTGATTGGGCGGCAATCGCGGAATTTCCATATCTTTTCTCGGTGTAGTTATTTCTTCACCGCTCACCTGTTCTTCCTGCAAGTGCTGAAGCCGGCTCATGCTAGGCTCGACGGTCCGGTCAATCTTTGACAATTCTGGGTCTGGCGTTGCCTGTCTACTTGGGCCAAGGAAAGCCATCGAGAGGTTTTTTCCGCTGGGGTTTTGCAATTTCGCTTTTCGACAGTCGTTGAGAGCGAGGGGGAGAGGAAACTGAGAGAGTGCCCTTGTCGCAATCGCGAAAGTTGGAAGAGGCGGGGCATGATGGAGCGGATTTACCCACGTTTCTGATGCAAGCCATTAAAGACAGCCCCTCTTTGTGTGTCCAGGGCGCCTGGCATGCGGAGCACGACGGGATGTCGAACCCCTCGAGGTGGTCCGCCGCTCTTCGTCACAACTTGAGGTTGAAAGCCACCACCACTAAGAATACCACCACCACACCGCCATCTCACGCGCTCATGAACAACCCCGTGGCTACCCTGAGGGTGGTCTCGCATCACAGAGAAGGGGGGTCATGAGATCGTTGAACGGTACCATGAGAGACGGGCGTTTCGGGAGCAATGAACCGGCTTCCATGGCCAGGAGCACCCTCGAGTCATGCGTCATCTCGTCCACAGCTTCCAAAGGATGGTTCAGGCATAGTATGTGAGACTGAGTAATTGGTCGTATAGCACGGTAAGTACGGAGTACTCTGTACAGAGTACCATGCGACGCAGAACAAGCTTCAGGAGGAATTCGGTAGGCCTCTCAAGATTTGATTACGGCCTTCGAGGCCGAGAGAAGGTGGTATCCGGAACCAGAGATATGATGTAGTAGGGGCCCGATCGGAACATGTCGCCAGAACCGTCCGGTATGGCCCCCAGGGATCGCTCGAATCAAGGCCTAGAGACTATGACGGCAGCTGGCTGAAGCGCAGACGGAACGTGCTGCAGCACCAAGCCCAGATCCCTTTGTGCAATCCCAGCAGTCTCTCGATGGAAGTGGTACATAGTGAATGGTGAGTGGCGCAGCATTGGGAGCGCTTTTCTCTCCACAGACTGGCTGGGGGAGCACGAGCGTAAAGACCATATGTAACCGCCAATGGTCATCATCTATAGTCCTTTGCTATCGGCTCATCTAGCAGACGAAACTTTGAAGCAATCGCAGCAACTGTGGATAAACGTGAGTGCATAGAGAGACTGAAGTGCTGTAGACGATCTTGTAGGGCCGAACTGACTGCAAGTCTGTCGTTAGAAACAATAAACGCCTCGAAAGTCGAAGAGTGTGGAAGCCCTGACTCGAGCTAGGCTCAACAGAGAGTGCTATGTTGGTTGGCCGTCCGTGTGTCCCATTGTGTGGGAGTTTGACAGAAGGGAGGGCGCGAGCCGCGGCTCCTTAGCGATAAAGTCTGAGCGAACGCAGTAAGCCAAAAGGGGAAGTGTAGATTTTCTCTACATTCTTACGCTTTCCAATAGAACGGGGATACCAAGCTGAGGTGGATGTATGTCATGAGCCTCGTGAGGCAAGGTAGAAGGCATGTCCCGTGGGAGAGTATGTCTCGCATGTCTTGCAGCTCTCTTCTCGGCCGCAGAAGCCCAGGGAGATGGATGCTGTCCGATCGTTCATGGGCTCAAAGGTTATTGATTGGGCAAAGGGGGATGGGGACGAGATGAGGCAGAGACAGTAAAGATGAATGGTCTTGTGCCTTAGTCTTGCGACCACCTTGCATGAACAGGAGGAGAGACAGAAGAGACGGAGAAAGGGTAAGGTTGACGAGACAAATAGGAAGAAGCAAGGAGCAACAAAAGAGCCGGCGGTATTGCCTTTGATCGGAGGCGGGTGTGAGTGTGACAAGAGATCAGAGTCACAAGAAAACGAAAAGGGCCAAGAAGGGGGAGGGTGATCGATGGTGAGCTTCTCTGCTATTGCAAGTTGACCCTTGCAGATGAGCGAGGGGCGAGGGATGAGGGTGTAGGGTGCAGACCCGAAGGTGAGAGGGAAGCTACTGCAGGTCGGTGAGGGATAGGAGAAAGAGGTGTGGGAGGGAGGGTGATGGTGGAAAGGGAAGAAGCAACGCCGCCGTCCCAGACTCGAGGTACCGTCCGCGGCGGTTGAGACACAAAATGGGCCCCTACGAGACAATTTTCCATGGGAGAAGTCGCGATGGCGTACCCATTCGCGTGGCCTGTCCAGCCATTCGTTCATGAAGGCTACCTCGACCGTACCACGAGTCCTGATGGTGCGTACGTAGTAAGTCATATTGGACTGCAGAATGTTTCGGGTGCTTCCATCATTACCATGGCCATCACCATCACCATCGCTCGCATGCCTCGTGTCTTTTAGGGCTTTGACTGATGTAATGTACAGACACCATGGATTGCTTACCTCATGTCAGAACCTGAGGCGGTAAGGTAGCCAAGGCATTGTATGACATACCCAGGTACGGAGTACATTGACTTTGGACAGAGGCTTGAGAGGAAAGAAAGAACGACGTAACGGAAGGGTCGGTCTGAATGAAAGCTCAGACCCTCTTGCCTCCCACTTCCATTAAAATCCCTGGCAAAAGCAATAGATACGTACCGCGACGTTCCTCGAGTGCTTCAGTCTCCAGACAGTGAAAGAGCTCGCATGGGGACACGGCCCAGAGTACTTGCAGCAGCATGCAGCTTGCGCGCCCACCCCCAGGGCCCCAGAGCCCCAGTCAGTGGACGGACCCTTGTCAGATGCTCCACTCTTGACTCCAGCGCACTAACAAAGCCCATTTTCGCCCTTGCCAGACACAAGGTACCAAGTCCTTCCCCCCCCATGAGAGCCTTCCAGTCCTTCGCCATCCCATCTGCCACCTGCCACTCTGCCGCCATCCAGGTCCCAGCCAACCTACCTTTACCTACCTACCTAACTACCTTACTTACACTTACTTCCCTTCCCTCCCGTCTCCCGCCCGAACTTCCTCACCGACACACCACAATACTCGCACACATTATTGCTTCACCCGCATTCCTCCCTCTCATTGCAGAAAACAAGACGACCCTGTGATTCAATATTGAAACACTTATCACTCTAATATCCTCGCCCTTAAGACCCCTTCGTCCGCCCCCTACAGTCCACCGGCGCATTCCAAGCCTCCTCGCTTTCTATCCCGTCGCATACTCGCGCACAGTCGCAAAAGTCTTTCCGTCGCATACCAAACCACCTTGCCAGCTCGTCATCGCACCGCGCGACACTTGATAGCGATAGCCCACGACTGCATACCGATCAAATTCCTCAAGATGCTTATGCCATCCGCCTTCTCATGCGACACGTCGCAGCCGCCTCTTACCCGACTCCAGGCGTCTCTCTTCGCATCGCCTCCCTCGAGCCCTCCCACCCTGTCAACTAGCAGTGGCTTCGGTCACATCTTGGACAGCTGCCGCTCTCTCCAAGCCCTTCTCTCATCGCCTCAGCATCAGAACATTCCCAGTGCCGCTCTCTCATACGACGCGCCGCAACAATACCTTCCCACGCCATCTCAACTTCCCACGCCGCCTCTCGCCCACGCGCCTGCTCCCCACAAACTGCGCCTGCGCTCGCGCGCAAAGCAGGATGGCGCCACTAACAGCGATCACCTTCCGCGCAAGCGCATCGCAAAGCGCGCGCCGCCACGAGGTCTGAACAAGCGCCGGCGCGCCGCCGATGAGGAGACGGGTCGTGAAGATGCTCTTCTTACAGACGAGGACGTCGAGAGCGATCTCGACATCTCATCTCAGCGTCAATCTTTCGAAGCTACCAACGACAAACCTATTCCATCCAACCCTTCTACACCCAAACGCGCGCGTATTGCACCAGAGGTGATCCCTCTGGGCCTCGAGCGCTCCGATTATCATACACTGCACCTCCTCAACGGCGACGGTGTGAACATGAACCACAGCAGCATGGAAGCGGCAGGCGCACAAGACCCAACCGTGGAGGTCGAGGCCGATGGAGAGCGGTGGAGCGCCGAGGATGATAGGATACTCGTCGAGCTTGTGCTGGAGAAGCTGAAGCTCTCCAAGACGGAGTGGCAAGACTGCGCGCGCAGTTTGGGCAAGGACCGGAACTGCCTATCCCGGCGATGGAAGAGTCTCATGGTCCAGGGTGACGTCGGCCTCAAGGGACCTCGGAGGAGTAGCCGCAGGGCCAACCTTCACGGTACCTGGCGATAATTTACCCTGACCTTGGCGTCATTGTCGACAGTCTGGGAATTTACCATTTTATTTGTCTTGGGGTTCGAATGTGGCGTTTTTACAAGTACCAAACGGTCAGAGCCCGGAAACGGCTTTTGTGGAACATTTTAGGAGCGGTTGTTCAGCGCCTCATCTCGCGCTTAGTTGATCTCGAGCTTGGAACTAGCTTTTGAGTTGGGACATGTTGGTTTCTTTGTTTTCTCTTCTCACGCGTGCTGCGTCACCCGAGAGCAAGCATACCTTATCTACCAGAATAGGTCATTGGAATCTCATTGCACGAGATATCCTGTCACCTTATGTGCCTTATTACAGAGAGGCCAAAATACAAAAAACTTGAGTACACTCAAAACCTCTTAGGTGCTTTGCATTCTTGTGACTTGGATCTGCTCCGATTGAGATTGACGCCTCTGTTCCATGATCGGGAATGAGCTCGCCATACGGAGTATCTCTGATTGATATCATCGACACAATACTGCGGTATGATACATGCAGCCGTGACGTTTAGAGACCGCATGCGCATGTCTGTCACGTACGTGGACGTGTTCAACATTACCAACCTTACGACTCACTACACTAGCTACCCGTCTGTCTTGTCGCAACTGGAACTGTCAAAGGAGCCGTCACGTCAAGCCCCCCCGCGCGCCGTTGACTTGTAGCCGCTCAGACGTCGCCCAGCCTTGTCAGCTTTCTCTGTGCCATGCTATCCGTAGCTAAATTGTTACTAGACTCTCTCTGTCCACGCGACAAGTCCAGTAGATTGATCGCCAGTCGCGCGCAATGCGCTGTTGCGCAGCTTGCTTCCTGTATTTTTCCTCCCCCGGTTCCCCCGCCCCCCCATCCGCCCCAGCCTCGCCGTCCCTTTTCTGGACTATTACGGACTACTATCGCAGGTACGGATGGGAGATAACAGATTGCGATAGTTGTTTTTGGTAGCGCGGGTGGATCTTCCCGGCCCAGTGTCGTGATCCTTGGTCCAAGGTAAGGTAAGGTACGGAGGAATGGTGGCAGGAGGGTGGCTGGTCTTGCGTGTTGGGCCTAGTGCTTTCCCCCGCCATTCCCATGTTGCAGCGCCTGATACGGCGCCCGTCACCTTTCTCTCTCTCTCACTTGGTCCTCGCTTCTCCAGGACAGAAACGTTACCTCGATCATCACTCGCGTACAATACAAACAGCCCAATACAAATCATACCGGCAAACTATCTCGCTCTCCCCTACTGAGACAAGAAAACCGAGCACCCTACCTCCTGGACAAACAGCAATTAACAGCGTGGAAGCAGGACTCTGTCAGGTGGCGATCGCAGGATGGGACGCAAGGGGTGGCTGGTGTTATCGATAGTACGCCGCATCCCTCCTGCCGTACCTGAATATCTCGCCCTGTACGGGGGTGTGGCCTGTACTCGGTAGGGCCAGGCCAAACCAACCACCGCAGTTCCCGACCTTTTGAAACGAGCCCAGATGAACTCTTTTCGCCCAGGGCAAGGGGAAACGAATGGGGTGTGGGACGGGAATCGGGGCGGGAAGGATAGGGACTGGATAGTGCGAACCCTTTTTCCCTTGCCCATCCGCGCCAGCTGAACCTATCGGCTTGACGATGTGCCTGAATCGGCCGTGGGGTCGGGTCCCCCCCCCTCCCAAGGGCCTGGACGGCTGGCCTGGGGGGCAGGCAGATACCTTGTCCTGTCTATTCAATTCTCTTGGGCGGGCTATTACCTGAGCTCAGCTGTATGGATGGACTTGAATGGAGGCTGAGTTACTCGAGTGGCAAGTATGGTCAAAGAGCGACATCGGGATATTGGGTGAGTGAATGAGAGAACGAGCGAGCAATTCACTGAATGAAAGTCCGATTGATGAAGCGTAGAAAGCAGTACTCCGTATACGGATAACACCTGTGAAGCGTGTAAGTCGAATTCGACCATCGACGCAACTCACGACTTCTCTCGATGCCACAAAACCTCGGCAATCCCGTAAGATACGCGAAAAGCACGCGTCATGATAACCAAAGATAACACACTCTCCATCATTGTCTCAAGTCTTCAAATCGCACAAACAGTTTTCTTCTTTCTCGGTTGCATCCCATCATATCTCATCTCACACCCCTTCAGGCACGATCTAGCTTAACCTTGGATCTTCTGCCCACTCACCCAGCAAGCCCTACTCTATCTACCATGTATGACTACACAAAAGAAGAAGAAGAAGAAGAAAAAACCCTCAAGATGCAGAGCGTAGGAGCATATCACAGTACAGCACCGAAATGTGAAATGCAAGCAAGGCAAGCAGGATTTTGTTCCAACAGATTTAGGCATAAGCATCACGCATGCATGTCTCGCGAATCTGGGGTGAGGTAACGTAAATCATCACCGCGTCCTGGGAAACACCAATCAACCAAAGAAAAACCACAACATCGAAAAAAGAAACGACTTTTTCGGCGACGAAGCCGACGCCGCCGCCGCATAAGCACGAATCCCACCCCCCTTTTCCCCCACCACCTTATAGAGAAGCATGATTTTGATCGATACTGTGCAAGATACCTCAATGTCTCGCCGGCCATCGCGCCGTCTCCGATCCAAGGGATGACTGAAACCCCCCCCCCCTCCACACTCCCCATCTCTTCGCCTACACGCTACCGCTAATTCGCTTCAAGTCAGGAACCAACAGGAACCAACAATACCTAACTCTTTACGGGAGTAAGTTTTGTGTGCCTGGCATGTATATCTTTCCTCCCTGCGTCTCATCGATCAGCTACTCCCCCTTCCCGACCCATCGTCGCGGTTTGCCCTGGTCTATACTGCCTTAGCCGGGTATCATCTTTCGACCGAGGCTCTCCAAGGGGGCAAGGGGGGACGCGATGTTCGCGTGATGCTCGCGTGATGGGGGTGATCTCCATCTGTATAGTCACTCTGTATAGCCAGTCTATTGAAGTTTTTCAGCAGCCATCGTCAAGGAGGTCAGGAGGAAAATCGAGGTCGACAACGCCCTTGGATCCTCCTCTCCACACCCTCACGAC